CCCCAAAACCCCAAAACCCCGAATTTTAACTATCGGAAAATTTAGTCATATTAAGTTATAAAATCAAGTTTAATAAATATTATATTTTTTGCTGTTCAAACTACAGCTTACTTTTATTCAATTATTTACAGAATTGTTAATCTATCTCATTTGAGAATTTCTACCTGTAGCAAAAGACTTTTTTATTCTGAGATCAATAACTGTATCATAATATTTGTTTACATCAAATTGCATCACATCGCTGCTTATAAAACCATTTTTAATGCTCTGTGTGTAGTCTTTCAGAGACTTTAAATTTTCATTGTTTCTATTTTACTTAATCACACTTCTTGACCTAAGCTATTAATATATTGGGTCGAATTATTTGTTATGAAGTTAATGATCTTTTGAGGCTAATAATGCTATTTTAACTCCTGATGGTGTTTGAAGATTAATTGCAGGAAGTAAGTTATTTTTTTATTTATCTTATGCCTTTACTAAATTGAATCTTTCTTCTTCACTTATCAGGGAAAGTATGGAAGTCCTGCTTGTCATCTTCTCCTTAATCATCTATTAAATCTTTCTTACTATTGCAGCTCTAAGAATTTTGAAACTATTTAGAGGTCCAATACTCTCATCATTATTACCACCTTCATTAATAATCTCTGGCTGTAATTTGAATTCTTCTACTTTTTTGGTTTTCATTAATTTCAAATTCTAAAGTTCCTCATAAACCTCTTACTCTAGTTTATCAGTGTCAATCTTTTATTCTCTTGCTTCTTACCAGAGTAGCTTTTCTAGCTTTTTTAATATAAATGTTGCATTCTTGTTCATTCTTTTTTACGTATCACTCATTATTCTTTTATGAACAATATCCTGACATCCATTGATAATTTTCTCAAAGAGAAATTATTGAATAATCAAATCTGACCCTAACTCTTTTTATGCATCTACTTTCTCATATATTACATTATTAATCAGTTGCTTGCCTTTGAGAACACTTTTTAAAGTACTAATGACTATACTTTTATGAATCATCCTGCTATTTGAGCTTCCTTCTTTTAAAGGATTTTTCTTGAGAACACCGACTTCATGAAGAATATCAAACAGATCCATTTACTCTAGTCTGAGCTACTCCTAAGTTTTAGATTGATCAAGCCTTTTATTAGGAGCTTTTGGGACCACTAAAAGTGGGTTGAAAGATTTATCAGAAAAAGGAACAAGTTTGCTTTATACTGGGAGATAATCCTTAGATTTATCATCTGGATGCACTAAGCCAATCTTTGTATAATCTACATTTTTCTTTTTATTTTCTTCCTCTGCCTCCTCCTCATCTAAGTCTCTTACTTTTTTCTTTGGCTTGTCATCATCCAATTCATACTCAGCTACGTCTTCTTGAATATTAGCCATCGGGGATTGATTACTTTCTTTTTCACCAATTAGATCCTGGACACTTATATTTATTCCCATTTTCTATAAACGAGTGTCAAACTCCTATGCTTCTTAAATAAGTTCATTTAAAATTCTTTGATTCTGATTGCTTTCTTTAAAGATAGAGTTAAGTCCTGCTAAAGAATTATCTTAGGATTTTTTTTTCCTCTCTGAGGTGGCGAGTTACTTTAGGAGTAGGTTGTGTGCTTTCTTAAAATCCTTTAATTCTTGAGTTACTTTATTACGAATAGCGTCTATAAACTTTTTATTATTTGTACTGAAATGCTTCATCATATTCTTATAGTTATTGATTTCTTAATCTTTTGAGAGAAATTTTGTAGGTTAATTCTTTTTAAAATCATTCTCCTCTTCTATCAATTTATTAAGCTTATCATCATGTTTGGTATTTTTCTAGTCTTAATTGATTAATTTATCGTAAAAGTTAAAACCTCCTCCACCAGCTTCATTATCCTCATCCTTATCCTTCTTGAGTTTTATAGGACTTTTACTCATGGAATCTAGTTTTTCTTGTATCTTTTTCCTGTCATCAGCATCTAATTTTTTGTCTTCTAACTGTTTAATCAGCACCCTCTTCTCCTCCCTTAATCTTTCTTTTTCTTCCTTTTGCTTTTGTTTTTCTGTTTTAAATAGATCCTCGTCTAAATCTAATCCTTCCTCTTCTATTTATGGATCTGTTGCATTTAGTGATACTCTCTTAGATTTCTTATTAAGTAGAAGTTTAATTTTCTGATCAATTTTATTAACAAAATTTTACTCCGACTACGAATCAGCTTTTTACTTCAACCTTAATTGTCTGTTTCTTTCTAGTAAAGCACCTAAGCCTTTTTTCATAGAAGCTTCCTCCTAGACTTCTTCTTGTTGTAGCTTTTTATTTTCTTCTTCTTCTAGCTATTACTATAAAAGCTATGCTTTTTTTTCCTATTGAGTATCCATTTTCTTCAATCCTTTTACCTGTGCTAGTTTAGATTTTAGCTCCTCTTATCTCTGCCGCTTTTACTCCTCCTCAATTAATTCAGTCTAAATAGAATCTATTTCCTTCTTCAATTTCTTCATCTACTTTTTGTCCTGTTTTTTCCTTGCATCTTCAAATTGTTTCTGCTTAAGCTTTAGAGTTTTTTCCTTCTTAGCCTTTTCTTTCTACTCTTGAACACCTCTATAGAGATCATAAAAGTCCACCTTAAAAGTATTAGCTAACAAATATGGAGACATTGACTTAGATGCTCCTTGCGGATACTGTTTGCTAACGAATGATTTCGTGATTTCATCTATTTTATCCTTAATTGATTGGTTATTTTAACCATCATTAGATATTTATTCTCTTACTTTTGCTTCTAAACCCTCGTAGTAGACATACATATCCCTATTAATTCTGCCCTTTTTGTCTAGTACAGAGTCTATCTTAGGCTTTGACAGTGAAACTTCCTTTTCTATAGTCCTCGATCTTTAACTAGATTTCTAGAGCTCCTAGGCAAGACCTAGCATCTAGATTTTATTGTCAAAAAACAGCTAGGTAGGTCTAAATTAATCGATGCCTCCCTTATTTTCTACCTCTTACCAGTATTCCTTATCTCTTATTACCACTCTATACAAAGTATGCTTTAGTTTTTCTTTTAGCGACTCATCCTTAGTAACAGCACCAGACTGCAGTTATAATTTCAAATTTTCTTCTACTTCAAGCTAGCTCTTGTTTAGTTTCCTCATAGTTAATGAGTCCTCATGACTACCAATTGCTGTAGTTTTTCTCTTGACAGCGAATCTTGAGGTTTTTATTGATGACAGAGATGCATCATGATTCAAAGTATGGTGTTGTTATCTCGAAGGAGTGATCATGGACTAAGATTACTAGTATAAATTCATTCGGCTATTTATACCTCCGGCAATAGATCTTGATGATGGGGACACTTGAAGAGTTGAGCCTGACTGAATATTTATATTATTATGCATTGTGAAGCTACTTATAGCAGCAGAAGTGTTATCACCTTGAGAGTTATATTTGTACGCTAAAATTGGAGAAGCATTCTTATTTTGTGACTAAAAGTTTCTTGAAAAAGAGATCTGCTGCTGTTCAGAATTCGGATTTCTTTTAAAAGTAATTGACGGCAAAGTTGTTAGACTTTAATCCTCTGAGGTTAAGATATTTTTCTTATCTAGTGATATGTTTATTGGTGTCTCTTCGATATCCATCAGACAATAATTAAATTTTACAAATTTCTATTAATCTTAAAGCTATTATCTCAAGGATTTACAGATTTTAAGCTCTTGGGGTTTTGGGGTTTTGGGGTTTTGGGG